CAGTCCTGAAAGTAAATTGGAACATGCCTATGATGAACAATTAAAAATAAAAACAAACAAACAAACAAACAAACTGAGCAATTCTAGACTATATATAATTTTAAAAGTGGAATTAAATCCAGAGCAGAACAAGCAATTCAGGCCTTTCTAAATCTGTTTAAGGTGAAAAATGTTCTTTCAGATATTAGAACACTGAACTTGCAAATTCTTTATAATACTACATAGCTCAATTAGACTTTAATTGGCTATTGCCTATCAGCCTATAGACCACACTTTCTCATTTCAGATTACATCCATTGATCTATTTGTGAATTGTGCAGGCAATATATACGTATCTACTGTATATGCTTAACCTCTGCAAACGCTGTGCACTGCTCATAAATAATTTTAAATATGACTAGCCTTATATAATAGAGTACAATATATTTGAAGAACACCTCAGGAGGTAATAATTTTCATCTCCAAAGGAAGAACACAAAAATGCCTTCTAATTTATATTACCTAAAGGTCTACAGGTCTCCACATTTCACATAGCACTGACTTTAAGAGTTGAAAACATTTTCATATTTTTTAAAAAAGGCAGCTGAATCAGTTTTCTACAAATATAATTTTTAAGGTCTGATTCCTTTACAAAAGGAAATCATGAAAGTGAATGATGAAGAAAGGCAGCTATATAACTGGTCTTGTGTAGCTTGTTAACTATTTACTTGCACAAGCCTATGTCAATAGACAGTGCCCTGAGGGGTAAAGGCTCTCTTAGCATACATTTCAAATGGACAGAATTGTGTGCAAAAAGAGAAAAAAAAAGTGAGCAAAAAATTTAAAAATAAATCAGAGGTTGCCAAGCTCTGAATAGAAAAAGAACTTAGTTTTTAGCATGCAGAGTCACACACATGGATAAGGAACACAAGCATCCATGTAGGGGGAAAAAACAAAAAGTAACTTAATCTACCCTGGTATAAAAGTAGAGTAAAGCACTGATGAATCAAATAAACCCCACTATATAGATGACTGTATCATTTCATCATATTTAGATAGGAAACTCTTCAGGATTGAGACTGTCTCCTACTCTGTTTATACAGTGTCTACCACAGGGTGCCTTGTTTTTAGTTAGTCCCTAGACACTATTACAATTATTAATAATCTCTATTGTACACAAATTTCAGACATACTGATATTTTCAGGGGAAATGCCTTTGGTATGATTGAGCTTGTGGGTACATAGATTCACACATCTTAAAGAGATCTGATTTTCGGAACGGATTTCGCACTCACCTTCTATAATATAAAACTATTTAAAGAGGCCTCAAGTTGGACACTTAAAACATTCAGGTACCTCAAACTTCAAGAACCCTTTCTGAAAACTTTGGCTCTTATTTAGACCACGGGTTTGGATGAAAAGACCCTCTGAGGTCCCCTCCTGCTCTATTTTTTCTATGTTTCTGTAGCATCAGGAATACGATTACATTTTTGTTTATTGTGGTAATGCTTGCATTTGTTGCTATTTTGTTTTGAAAATAACTGGAGCATATTTCAAGTTTCTGTATCAGCTCTCAGTTATAAGTTTGAGGTTTACAAGCTACACAACTCCAGGATGACCAAGATAAAATGCTGTCTTGTTTAAAAATAAAGGCTTGAAATATGAACAAAAATCCAGAGATTATCAAGTAGGAGACTGGGCAGAGTTCTGTGAACTACCACAACTAATTCATCTCAGGGCATTTTAGAGATAATCTTCAGAAAAAGAACATATGTTGTATTATTCTTGAACAGTCCCCCAGGTGCCATGTTAAGAGTCTGAAGGAACCAGACATAGAGCTACATGTATACTTGCAGAATGTGGAATTACAATTGGATATACAACTTTATTTCACTCTTCCTAGAAGCAAAATGATGACAAAGATAGGTAAGGATGGAAATGATTAACGTTACCAAGATATTCAATGTTAGTAGCCTTAAGCCAATCCAGTCTTCACAAGCTGAATTGCATGTACACAGCTGAATTGCATGTTCTATACACAGTGGGCCACAATCTACATGGGCAGGAACACATGTGCAATGAGGTGAAAAGACAACTGAACCTCCTCATATGGACAGCAAGAATTCTGTGACTGTCATATCTAAAAGTTAGGTGGGAAAGGTTTTTAGTGCCAACAGCCCTTGACATCATAAAAGAGGTCTGCTGGGACATGTCATGGTTCTGCCTTTGTCTGATGTCTGTTACCAGCTACAGCCCATTGTTGGAGCCAGTCTATTCATCTTAAAGGTCTGTGATTTCATGCTTGATATGCACTCTCTTAGTAAACTACCTGCTAACCCATGGCGTAGGACGCCTCCCTAATGTGGCTGTAACATAAAAGCCACAATATGAACTAATATCTAGTGTTGTCTTATTGCAAAGTGTCATTAGAGAATAACATGCTCCTGAAAGCAAGTATTCTCTGGACCAAACTGTGGCCTATGTTAAAATGGTTCAATGGGTGCATCTACACATTCCATGAAGACACTATGATAAACTCCAGCACAGTTTGCACCAGAGTCAGCTGCTCCTGGGTGCAACATCTACACGTGTGCCTGGGACCACAGCAGTTTGAGTCAGGACAGAGCAGCAGCAGGCTGGCAGGGGACATAGGGGATCAGCCCCAGGCTCTGGGTGGCAGTGTCGGATAGTGGAGGGGCTGGCTGGGGCACGAGGGTGCTAATGTGCAGAACTAAGTGGCAGGGACACAAGACAATGTATACTCACATAACTGCACTTTTAGCACTCTCATGCTCCAACCAGCCCCTGTCACCATCTACATGTGCATTTCAGTGCATGCAAGTACTCCACTGTAAGACAGTATTGTCCCTAACAGTGACCCAATGTGACAGTACTATCTTACAGCAGAGTTAATTAATTTACGGCACTCTAAAACCAACATGTGTAGATGGTGACACTTTACTGCAGAGTTAATTAGTCAACACTGCAGTAAAGCACACATGTAGATGCAATCACTAAGTATTTGAAGTCAGTGAACTCCATGAAATCTGAGCATTTGTGAAAACAACAGCAGAATTTCCCAGTAAGAAAGATGTAATATATTTCACTATCAAGTCATGGTTTCCTACACAACAGTTTTTGCCTTGATGCACTTGATACAAACGCCCAGATGCATTTCATGTAGCGCTGTTTGTTGAACACTATTGCTGCACACCCTAATATTAATCACCACAATAAGAGCCAATGTCATTTTATAGCTAAGCAGCAAATCAGAGTTTTTGGGGGGTTTTTTTTGATCTTCAGGAATATGATCAACTCACACAAGAAAGGACAGCTCTATCTTATATAAATTTAAGCACTGAATCACTTTAAGTAATCCCCTTACTAGGATAACTCATATGCTTATAGTTTGGCATAAGCTCATGTACCTCACAGAATCAGGACCTTAATTTTCATAGATCTAAATTCTTTGCTGATTTTACCCTGCCCAAGGAAGGAGGTCAAGAATTTAGGGAGAATATGCTCCTCTTTTGAGCATGAGTTCTAGCTAAAAAACTTTTCCTTACCCAACAATATTCAGACATTGGCTACAAACATATTAGCTCCTGATCCTATAAAAGTTCCAAATCGAGCAGTCCAGTGGTGATGTGAGACTTGGTTACTATGACTGAAATTCAAGTACAGCTTTTTGAAGCCTCTCAAAATATAATATTGAATGCTTCAAATTTCCCTATTTTCTTTTGGAGATGGAAGATCTGCTTTTGCTCTTATATACACTAGTTTCATACCAGGATAACTCCAGGGAAATAGTCCTAAGTTACAGTACTATGAGTGCTAGACATATTAGGTTCAGAGGGCCTGTCTCTGTTCTCAACCACATGACTGTCAGTCCAGAGAAACTTCATTGACTACATTTATACCTGTGTACATGGGAAGAATTTGGCCTAAATTTTCCTAACCAGATACATTTCACCTTTAAGTGCTTTTTACTGTATTTTAACAGTTCATATTGAGTAGCTCTCGAATATACTATTGCTTAATTTGGGGACTTCCCAGAGAAGTGGACCAGGAGTACTTCCATGCATCTGATCTGGAAGGTAGGGGTGACGGGGTGATAGCTTATCATTGCACAAGATCTTCCTGCCAGCTAATCAATTTATTGCCCAATTTCCCAGCAAGAGAGGGACCAATTGTATTTATTACCACCTAGAAGGAAAAACCTTACAGTTCAAAAGAGGCATGGTAGTCCCATAATTACAGAGTGGAGAATCTTGAGCTCTTACCAGAAAACGAGAGGGGTGGGGGTGGGGATATAAGGGTCTGAAGTACCCATTATATACCTTGATTCTCAAGGCAGTATTTTAAAGAGAGTATTTAAATCTCTCCTAAAACCCTTCAACTCTGACTTTAAATTGCCCACAGCCATGATGTCTATAAAACACCCCAAGTGACTATCTATCTAATATGCTCGTACTGTTGCTTGTGAAGCAAAATCATAATAATCTCACTGTTACCTTATGCTCTCCCCCAATCTGTCTCATTTTGTACTTACATTGTGAGGTTGTTTTGTTAAGTGAGTACACATTTCATTGTGTAATAAGGCCCCAACTGGAGCCTCCAGGTGAAATAAGGTATAAACCTTAATGATCCATCACTAGATACTGTATTCCACTTTGTTTCTTTCTGAGGAATGTGAATGGAGATGACAAACAGGTTTTAACTTTTATTTTTCCTTTGTAACTGACTATTTTGAAATAGCTCAGTGTTACGCCATAGTGTAACATACCCTGGTCCCTTTCATTTCAAATATCAAATTTCTGTTTTATTCTTTCCAAGATTTTCTCTCTCCAGATCATAGGTCTGCTTTGGATCACAAGGATTAAAAGCATCAGTTAGAGGCCACACCAGATGTCATAGTTGAGCTTCAACATCTACTGACTCTTCTTCATACACAAGACAGTCATCCACCTGGTAGAAACACGAAGTCATCTGAAATGTACTCTTGTACAGGCTTCCCTTACCTCAAATATATTTGATGATTCATTGTTGTACTGATTGGAAATAACTTCTGATTGGTCGCTGTACCACTTGAGTCCACCCAGAAAGCTGTCTGCATCCAAATCATTCACATCTAGTTCGGAGAGGTCAAGTTCTGGGAGATCTGGGCAAAGAGGCTGGTCTTCACCAACCAGAGCAGCACACTGCAGGAAGAAACATAGAAACACGCAGTTTCATTAATTACAAGAATTTATTAACCACAGTAGCATGTGATGAGAATTAAACCTCAAGTCACTTGTTCCATAAAGAAGGTCATTCGAGTTTACTTTCTGAAAGAAACACCAAACATTCAATTATAACTAATCCAGCAGAGGTAAGCAAAGTTGAGGTAGGGATGGGCAGCTGATGAGGGTGTAAGTTATATTCTCCATCACACCCTTCAGCAATAACCAACTACTACCCAATTCCTTATATTCACTGGAGACCCTAGTATTTGCAAAATTAGTAATCCCAGCAGACAAGGCCAAGATGTAGCCCTCTCTCTCTCTTGTCTCAGTCAGTAGAAAGAAACTAGTATAGCTAGGCAGGTATCCACTGGTCAATCTGTTGCACATCCTTCCCAATCCACATGATGTTCGGAATCTATTGCACTCTGCAGCTACACCAGCCAATTCTTTAAAGAAAGTTGTGGAAACTCAGCTCCCCAGCTCTGTCCCAAACTAGTGGCCATCATATATATGCTACACACCACTGAAGGATGCAGCAGCAGATACTGCTCTGTGCACTTCCCCAAATCTCCTGAGATCTTGTGCCTTCCTAACCAGGACATAAATCTCTGTACCCACTTAACAAAGCTGCTCAAATTTCCTCAGTCCTCAGAGTCTGCTAGCAGTGGCTTTATTAGATGTACTAAAAGGGAATTTTCCTTTGACCAACCCTAGAGTAGAGGCTAGTACGACACTGCATCTCAGAACTTGAAAAGATTAAGTGGGGTTTAAACTGCACAGGCTCTCTTTACTGGGATGAATTTCATATCTATTTATATAAAAACAACACTGATTTCATTACTATAAATCCATAATTGGTTTTCTTTCATAAATCATTAACAGTCATTTACATATCAATTCAGCTAAAATATGTATTTTTATATTATGCTTCCCTGGTAGCACAACAATATTAAAATGCTACCCGAACTACTTCCTAATTGTAGAAAATGTGTAACAAGACGTGGAAGAAGTCATAAAATATAAAAAACTGAAGCCCACCACTTCAGTGTTACCATGGCCCTACTTGGTATCCCCCACTCAGTAGTCAATGTGTTACTGCAGCAGGTACTTCCATTGCTCCACCATGTGCTCTTGTAGACCTTCTTTGAAGTTCCATGTTTGCAACAAAAAAGGCATTGGACTCCTCTATTTAGAAGCTGCATCAATAATTAAGTAGTTAAAAACCACTTCACTATCCGGCAACTAAGTTGTTATAACAATGCCAGTCAAGAGTGAAGTTCTTACTACCACTTTCAACCAGTTATTTGTGGCTTTGTCAACTTGTGCTAATGTTAAGGATGGACCAAACAGAAAATCTAGACACCAAGTACTTACGGACTACAGTCAGCTGATTGGGTAGTTTGAATGATTTCCTAATTTCTATTTGTATTGAAAGCACTCCAAGAAGTACCACCATCCAGTGAGGTGTTTACAGGACAAGAACCCAGGATGTGGTTTACTCCATGTTTGCTACGTCACTCTTGAAAGTACCACCTTTCACAATCATATAAAATAGAGCTGCTGAAGGCAGCCTGGAATAAGATAAATCTCATTGAGATATTTCATTTCTGTGACTCTTGGTAAGTCTGTACTGCATAGGCTGTATGCAGCAGCATAATCATGAGCAAACACTTTGTATCTAATGGCATAAAGACTCAGTGCAGCTGGTGGGATATATAATTTACCTTACAACTTCCACAGGTCTAGTGGGATACTTGTGGAATAGGCCAAGAGGCACAGAAACTCAGGGGTTGCAAGGTGAGCCTTTGAAATATTGCTGGCTTTTAATTCTATTACAAGGACTCCAAACTTCAACAGGCCAAAGCCTCCCTTGGATAATATTTTGGATGCTGAAATTTACTAGGTTTTCATTTTGGTCATATAAAAATACAAAGAAAAAAATTAAAAGCTTCCCCCTTTTCTAATGGTGACATAACCTTCCAGCAACAATCTTATAATGCAGAGATGACCTTTTTAGATGCACAGATGAAATCTGTGATCTCATTAAAGGATAATCTAGTTTTTGACTGAAAAGGTAGATTCTCAGCATCATTCCCAGGTTTGTGTTGCAGAGGTCAGTGGTTTAAAACTGATGCTGTAGACTTCTAAACTATCCTGCTGATCTGTTACTGCCTTCATTTGTAAAAATAGCTTCTGTCTCCACATCACCTAGTTAAACATGTTATGTCTTTGATTATATGCATTTTAAAGTCTTGCAGTGGACACTTTAAAGCAGGAATAAAAACAGCTGTATTTAAAAAATGCCTGTTGCAACTTTCATTTGTATATAATGACTGCAATGTCACTTAAAAATGTATTCACTGAAATGAAGTACATATGCTCTTGCCAATGTGGACATGATAATAAAATCAATGTTTCTGAATATGGCATAATGCTACTAATGTGTCTCAGATTAGAAGCAAGTGTTCCTGTTATTAATTTATATTTGGCCCTTGGTGGATGCCAGATTTAACAGTCCAAGTCCTAAAACTGTCCTCATCTGACATGTTGATATTTACTCTTTGCCTATACATCTGTAACAGGTGTGCCTGCATTGCTCCAGTACATTTTACTCTCTTCCAACAGTTATTTCACATGATAGCTATTTTATAATGATATCCTAAATTTTATAATACGATTTAAGAGGATAAAGCAGTCACTAAACTCAAAAGGCTAATTATTTTGCATTATTTCATTCCAACTTCCTTTTGTTTCTCAGTTCAGGAGCAAACAATAAATTAGCTTAACTGCACTGATGATAATGAATCATTATAATTAAGTATAATTCTCCATTAACCTTTTAGACATTTTTTGCCTTTGTAGGTAAATTTAAAAGAAAGAGACTGGACTTGTGCCATATTAATTATATTAACAAAAATCATCTTTGTTTTATTTTTAACGAGTTTTTTAAAATAGGAAATGGGATGAACCCAGGAAAGAATGACAGACTTGACAGAATGTGTGTCATGTGGATTCTCTCTATCAGTCTTTGCAACCTTACTGTATATCACCTTCATTAAACTGTGAAACACTGGGGACGCTGATCAGCTATAGTGATGCAGGCCTTTATTAAGCAACACGCCATCCTGTCATTATGTGCAAGAGGGTATAATGCATTTTAAGTTGACAGCAAACATTAATGATTCAAAAAATGAAAGCTGCCTACAGTACCTGCTGTTTGTAATATTTTAGATCAGTAAAGGTGATCCCCAGAGCCAGAGAAGCACACACACACCATGCTATGTTGCTACACAAAGTGCAACGCAGCAGACAGTTGGTAAAATTCTACCAACAGCTAATCCATCCACCACACAATTAATATGAAGATCAAACCTTTTTCTCTATGGAAGAAAAAAAAACCCCATTGCTCCATATTATCTATTCTGTTACTAGCTTGAAATTACTGAAGGAACTCTGGTGATTAAAATAAATCTTCAATATTTCCATATAAGCTGGTTCCTCAATCAGCTACTAGCAGCATTAGGAATAATACATGATGGAAAAATGAAGCTACAGCAGCTGAGACCCATGCTGCAAGCCAGACAACAACCCACAGGATACTCCAGCTACTCAGAAACAATTAGGACTTTGGAGCCAGAAAGTCATCCACTTACAGCCTTGACTCATAATAGCTACAGGACATATGAATTATCCATATCTATTCCACTTTACCAAGAAATCAAAACAAGATAAGAGCAATTACAATATGCAAACAGAAAGCAGTGAAAGCAATGGTGAGCGCCAAATATTTAAAACATGACAGAAAAAGTCAAGAATCTGATGCATGCTTCGCTAGAGAGGAAAATGCAACCATACGAAGGGAGAACCCTGTAACATTTTACTTTAGATGGGTATCTCTGCACCACCAGAACATCTCATTTAAAAAGCATCACATGTAACATTTTTTCTTTTCCTATTGCCTAAGGGGAGCATTTCAAGTACATATTCCAAACTCCTAGGGACAGCTTAATTCCTTTGAGCTGGTCTGTATTTTGTATTCATCTCAATGGGATCCAAAGAAAGTTTCCCTTGCTTCACAAGTTGCCAGAACTTTCAGATAACACTCCATTTTGCTGAATGCAAACATGCAGAAATCCTCAGCCTCACTTTATACTCCAGAGATTACGAGAGAACTGCTTGCTTTTTTCCTTTATGAATTGTAGCCAGCAGAAGCTGTGGATTTGATGTATTGCCGTCTATTTTTACACAAGCAGCGGCAGCGGCAGCGGCAGCTCTCACAGTCCTGCATAAACTCTATTCTCATGGTTCATCCTGTTGTCTCTGTTGTACAGTAGAATTTAACCATTTGTTGAACTACTTGAATTAACTGAAAACCTTATCCTACGGGACACCAACTACAATGCAATCACCCAATACAACAATTACAAGTAAAGCAACATTTTATTTCCTGTAATCTTTTTTAAAGGCATTTAAAACAAAACAACAAGGTATTCATCCTTCTCTGTGTGTGTCTGAATTGTGCAGCTGCTAAATGAGAAAAAATCCTGAACAGAATATAGTGAAAAAGCAATCAGCACATGAAACCAATTGATAATTTTAACTTTTTAAAATTAAAAAAAAATCTTAATCTTATAAATAGCTATGGCATTTTTCCAACCAGGCCACTAAACGCCACTGGAAAGACTTCAGACACTGATTCATATCAATATCTTAGAGCATAAATATTGCATATGACTGGAAAGCGAGCCAAAGGCACATGAAAATAGTTTCCAACTGCAGGAGATACTGATGACAGCAGCTAAGCTTTGATTTGCTCAAGGCATCATAGAGTAACCTTAAAATAGCAAACTTACTGGAGTTAAGATAAGATTCAGACTTGTTTGCAAAGTATTATATCTAGCACAGTTTTGTAATTATTCTGTTTAAAAAAAAATACCTTTAAAAGGTTTGCACACAAGACAATCCTCACGTTGTTTATAAGGCACAGCTCACCTCTATATCACTCCATACAGAGTCCTGGTTGCACATGTCCCACGCCATCCAGCTTCTGAATGACAGCAGTAAAGCTTTTAAACTACAGTCCACAATCGCACACAGAGCATACACTCATGCAGGCAACTAGACCCTTACTGAGAGTGAACTGAAGGCACCTGTCTTACTACTGTTCCCAGTCACATGACAAAGCTATTAAAAAGTAGGCTGGGCTGTCACTCACCCAGCCTTCTTGTGCTGCTGCTAAAACTAGTGACGTCACTCAGAGGCAGACCTAGGCTTAAGTGAAGTAAATCTTTTTAAAAACCACTCAGACCTTTCAGTCTTCAGCACCACACTGTGATTAAAATCAGATTTTAATGCCACACCCCCTAAATTGTGCTGTTGCCATATATTGTAAAAACTAAAATCCCTTACAATCTTTTTTTAATTTCTTTTTTTCCAAAACAAACAACAGACAAAAAGCAGTATTTATTATAAAGGAAAAAAGTGAAGTAACTCTAATCTGACCTAAAATGTACTCACTGAATACCTTGCTTTGAACCTTCGCAAGTGGACTACTCAGGCCAGGTTAGCTAACAAGCACTGTTATTGTGGAAATGCTATCGCAAGAGTTATGTAAAAAGTTACTGCATGATTCTTTATTTGCTAAGTCATTTTATGCCTTGTGGAATATTTTGAAGTGTGGTCTGTTAGTAGTAACTTCTGGTCAAGAATACAACCAGAGTTGGGGTTTTTTTTCCACGTGCGAAGCATCTACAAAAATGCATCTCCGTGACACCACAAGTCACAGGGCAAAAAAACGTTGCTTTCGTTTGCAAGCATCTGTTACGCATAACGGGCCACATCATGATTTTTTTTCAGGTCCTAGTTTGTTTTTTCTGTTTCATATAAACGTCCCCTAGAAAGTAGAGGTGTTCAATAAAAATGCTGTGGTCCTGCCCACATACATCTGCTTAGATTCCTGTCTGCATTTTCATATGAGTAGTATTTCCTCAATACTGCCTGAGGGTGCATTTTTGTATAAACACTGTATTCCAACCCCATTGACCCGGGCTGCGCATTTTCTGTTTGAAAACAAGAATTCTCTCACTGCCATGTGAAAATACCAACATGCTATTAACAGAAGTGTTTCTTCTTTAAGCCTTTTACAGCTCTCTCCCTGAGACAATAGGGGCTGCTGCAGGTGCAACTGGTTTATGATGACACTACACACTGAATACATAACAGACTGAAGGTACCAAATGCAACTGGAAAGCATTTCCCACAACAGAAAAAAAAAGAAAGGGCTTATTTAACCATCTCCACCTGCCTTTTCATATTTTTTAAAAAGTTGTGGGTTTGGGGGTTTGTTTGGATTTTTTAATTAGCTGGGCTCAAAAGTCTAGTTTGCAAAATATAAGTGCTTGATCAGTCATGCTGGGCTACTAGTTATAGTCACAAAACTATAATTGATCATTCTCCTTGTCATGAAATATTCATTCCCATTGTTGTTTGCAAATTTGAGTATTCTAAATTAAACTAATTCTTGTATCAAACCACAGAGAATTTTGCAGAGAAAAAAGAGAGACTACAACCCTTTTTTCAGATTCTAAATGCATTAAAAAATTAGAACAAATTCTTAGCTTATTTGTCCATCCTTACAATTTATTGTTGCCGAATCTAAAGAAATGTAAAGATTTCCCTGCTTGTGTTTAAGTTGCAAATCACATCACACTGTCATATTTTCATCAAACACAGATGACAAAAAATGACATTGTTTTTACTTTACTTAATTAAAAAAAACCACAGCAAAATACCCAATGACTACAGAAAGCATTTTCCTACATGTGATTAAATTAACGGTATTACTTTGCTCTCACCACGAAAAAAAACCTAATTTCCTTCCCAATTATATCCTGATTTAATGATAAAACTGCAGTAAATTATTAAGATTTGGGGCAAAGGTCAGTACCTCTACCCTCAGAACAGTCAACTGTGAAATAATGTTGGGCACCTGACTGACTGAAGTGAAGTATATTCTTATTAATTATTATCAGTGGATCCATGCCTGGTAGAATATTCCCCTTCAATACATACTTATAATTGTGTTCATTGACTGTACAGAATCCATCATTTTTTTTAAGTTTCATTCACACCTTTTATAGAAATGTATTTACACTGGAACATTTTATATTGCTGTTTTGGAAATTTTGACCTGCTCATGTTCTTTCTATTTTCTACAATTCCACTTCACTGCTTTTCCTTCAAATTAGCAAGTTAACTGATAAATATAAACTGTAACCTTAGTGATGGTTTCATAGAAGCTTTAGAGATGGGAAAACTTTCCTAGCACATTATAGATAGGATACATAATATGCAATAAAAACAACGTTATGTAGTTCTCTAGAGCTTTTCTAAGTGCTTGTCCATACTATGGCTTGACCTGTATTAGCAGTAACTGTATTCCAGAATGGGCGTCAAGGAACCTTCTGCCAAAGCTGTACTTGGAAATACATTTTTCTATCGTGATTCTAGATGGCATGGTTCAAACAATGGTGCCCAGTGTATATATTAAAAGACACTTATTATTGCTGATGTTATTATTGTCTACTCTAGTCTGAAAGAGGAATCTTACTATAAACTTACCAGTTAAAATACCTTTCAATGTTTTTTCAATGTGGCTTTACAATCATAGTACTTGTAGTATAAAAAATACAACACTGTTAATTATGTTTGGAAATCTTTTTCAAGTGCATAGACACCGTCTGGATGTTCTGGGTCTGGATTTTTCTAAAGGCAATTCTCAAGCACTACACACCGAGCACGTCTACGCATTCATGTGCTTTTGCTACTGCACATTCAATTTAGTGCCTCTAATGCGAGGTCCCTAACACACAGTAGCGCAAGAGCATGCTTTTTTAGTGATGCTTAATGTGCAGCAGGCTATTTTACTGCGCATTAGTGTATTAGCACAGTTTGTGGTGTGATGCTTTCACATGCAGTAAAATAGGCTACTACTTATTAAAGTACACATGTAGACATGCCCACTAATGTTTAGACAGAGCAAAGAGCCCTGGCAGGGCCAAATCTACCAATGGCCACAAACTCCTCTCCAACAGGTAGACATTTTAACAGAGGCCACTACAAGCTAAAGAACAGATGCCCGTTTCATGGGCAGTTACCAGACACACACTCATTGCAATTGTTCTTAGAAAACTAATTAAATAACTCCACAGAATGAAATGAAACAAATGTTTAAAAAAAACAACCTTTTGTTTTAAGACTTTTCTTCCTTTTTTCCCCCCAGAACTGTCAGCAAGCCAGGTCCCTGCTGACCATCATTTCCCTTCCTCTGCTTCCAGCACTCTCTGTCTCTCCTTTCTGTGAGTATATCTGCAGGGGTAACTTTCTGAGATGTGCAAAGGAATGAACAAGCAGTACATTAGGCTTCACAGTAACTGCCCATATGGTTGATTTTACTTTGCAGTAAATGTGGGGTAGATTGCCCCTCAGTGAAAGCGGGGTGAGCTATCCCACAGTGAGGTAAAACCACGCACAAAGGCAATTTCCACGCAGAAGCTATCATACTGAAGTTCACACCCTCCTTACCCTCCATGGTAACTGTTCATGTAGTTATACCATAACTTTTCTTTCAGTATCCCATCTGTGAGAGGTTTGGAGTAGGCTTGCAATGGAAATAGTGGGGGGGCAAACGACCTAATTAGCATTCAGCATGATAGATTTCTGACTCATATTATCTGATACCGTTGTCTGTTGTTACAAGGGATTGGACTTGATGACTCAGAGGGCCCTTCCAGTCCTCTATGTTCAATGGATCTTTGATCCTAAAAAACCTTTTCCTGCACTCACCCATTCGCGCTGTCTCTTTATTTGAATGCCTTTCTATCACCCATGCTTTTTATCCTTTTGTCTCCCTAACCCTTGCCCACCTGTCTTTATTCTCTGTGGTTTAAATTCCTCAAAAATGGACACCAACATTTTTTTGATTTCCAACTTCTACACCCAAAAACTTAGGCACCCCAAAATCTTAAACTAGTTTTGGGAAATGTGGCCCTATTCCCTTTACCATACCACTGATTAACACACAGTGAGTTTCCTACCTGTCTAAGCACCGTAGTTTAATGGCATTCAGTTGGGGTAGCTGCTTTTGCAGAGAAGATTCTACAGCCTAAGGATAAGGAACACTGAGGTTTCAAGAATTAAAGACTGTGCTAAGGTCTCACTAAGTTAAAATCCACAAACCAGTTTTCGTATGCTGTAAGCCTTTTCTACTACTATATGCAGAAGCATCGCTTCCACTTAAAAAAACCCCGAAAAGACAAAAAATCTTCCAGTAAAAGTTAAGCCTGTTCTATATATAAAGAGTGGAAGGACATTGCTCTATACCTAGACCAGCATAAACGGATGTCCTACACCCTATTAATTTTTTTCTAGAAATCTCTCTATCCATATTTACTCATTTTCCATTGTTTCTGAGTTTGTTTTGTACTCTAACCACTAAGTACTCCCTTTTTCTGTCTTGATTTTTATTCTGCCACCTTTCCCTACCAGTCTGTTCTAACCAGAACATTTACCAATAACATTTCTGATTCAAATTTCTTGAATCTGTGGTCTCCTAAAGTACTGGGGGTCAACTTTTTGGTAGGTGTGCCACAAATTAGCCCCGCACTGTCCCCAAGTGCCACTCCAATCCTTTTCCCCTGTCCAATCTGCTGCTCTGTTTTCTGCTTCCTTTCCTATACCCCTGGCCTAATTTGCCACATTACTTTCTCCTTCCTTCCCTATCTGCTGCATGCCACACGCAGACACTGCCCATGCCACTTATGGCACCAGTGCTGCAGATCAACTACCCCTCTCTTCGAGTGTCAAAAATGAGTGAAATAACTTTTCCATCTCTTATATAGAAGCAATTCACCCTGTCCCATGACACTTAAATTAGCATGTGCTTAGCCAGGATTGACTCCACTCTCACAAACTATAGACACAACTGCATGTTTACATATGTGAAAACTTGCTAATATCAGCAGTAGCTAATATCCTAAACTGAACAACTTTCAGAAACCACAATCCACCTCCAAGAAACCTCCAGAAAAGAACAAAACACAGATTTTCCACTCCCTGGCTCTCCAGCAGCATATACAATTTTCCCATAATGCAGCACTTTGGACAGACTACTTAGCGTTTTTTCATGGTC